TTTTAGTAGAGATGGGGTTTCACCATGTTGACCAGGATGGTCTCGATCTCTTGACCTCGTGATCCACCCGCCTCGGCCTCCGACAGTGCTGGGATTACAGGCTTGAGCCACCGCGCCCGGCCGATTTTTGTATTTTTAGTAGAGATGGGGTTTCACTGTGTTGACCAGACTCGTCTCACACTCCTGACCTCAAGAGATTTGCTCTCCTCAGCCTCCCAAAGTGTAGGGATTATAGACATGAGCCACATACTGGGCCTAAAGATAGTCTTGTCATCTAGTCTAGGCTGTTGTCGAACTCCTGGCCTCCAACAGTCCTCTTACTTTGTTCTCACAAAGTGCTGAGGTTAATTTCTGATGATAATCTAAGAAAAATCTTAGACTGAAGGGAAGAGAAGTCAGTACCTTACTTAAGAAATATCAGTGGAGCCTCCTGAGAGATGATGTGGGATGGTTGAATATGTGACTATGCTTCTTTTCTCTTCTTTCCCTACAGCTGTTTTTCAGAGTGACAGATGACCGGGCCAAGCAATCTGAACTGTACTTAGTCGGAATGATTTGTTACTATGGCAAACATTATTCTACGTTCTTTTTTCAAACCAAGATCCGCAAATGGATGTACTTTGATGATGCTCATGTCAAGGAGGTAGGAACAGTAAACCCCTTTTCGAAGTATTTGGTGACTACAACAATAACAGAAAAAAAAACAAGAATAATTATTTGTCTTTAGTGTTTCATTTTCCATAATTTTGAATGGAACCTCCCCACATTTCCATAAAACATATATATATGTATATTTGTTTATTTTTTTTACCTTTCATCCATCATGAGCTTTTTTTTTTTTTTTTTTGAGACAGAGTTTTACTCTGTCGCTTAGGCTGGAGTGCAGCCTTTGCTCACTGCAACCTTCACCTCCCAGGTTCAAGTGATTCTCCTGCCTCAGCCTCCCAAGTAGCTGGGACTACAAGTGCGTGCCACCATACCTGGCTAATTTTTGTATTTTTAGTAGAGATGGGGTTTCACTATATTGGCCAGGCTGGTCTCGAACTCCTGACCTCGTGATCCTCTCTTCTCGGCCTCCCAAAGTGGTGGGATTACAGGCATGATCCACCGTGCCCAGCCTATTTTATGTTTTTATGTCTGTCTGCCTATTGAATTTATGAAAGTATCATCTTCTCTTCCCCTGAAGATGGTTAGTTCTTCGAGGATAGGAAAGTTTTATTAAATAAAATAAAATATTTTGTCATCTATAAATACAAAACAGCTGAATGCTACTCACCTTAGTCTCCGGAGTAGCTGCAACTACGGGTGCGTGGCCATCACACCCAGGTAGTTAACATTTTTTGTTTGTTTGTTTTAGAGATGGGGGATCTCACTGTGTTACCCAGGTTGGTCTTGAACTCCTGGGCTCGAGTGATCCTCCCACCTCAGCCTGCCAAAGTGTTGGGATTACAGGTGTGAACCATAGTGCCTGGCCCATAGTATTTTTTTTAAAGTATAATCTCCTTTTTTTGTTTTTGTTTTTTTTTTCCTTGAAAATAGTTTTTCTTCAGTGCTGAGGAGTCAGCTCCTTACATGGGCCTTGGTGGAGTTCATGGGCCAGTACTTGAAGGTCTAAATTTGGCTGGGGATGTTAACACCTTTTGGGCTTGGGGAGATTGATTCCTGACTACCTTGCTGTGAATGGCACAACTCACGTAGTAATGCGGTTTTACATACAGCTTAGGAAGCACATAAACATCGAAGAAATTTATTAGAAATGTCATTGACAGCTGCAGCCTTTACTATGTTTTGAATGAGAAACTTCTTTTTATTTTTGTTTTTTTGAGATGGGGTCCTGCTCTGTCACCCAGGTTGGAGTGCAGTGGCATGATCTCGGCTCACTGCAACCTTTACCCCCTGGGCTCAAGTGATTCTCATGCCTCAGCTTCCTGAGCAGCTGGGATTACAGGTGTACACCACCACGCCTGGCTAATTTTTATATTTTTAGTAGAGACAGAGTTTCTCCATGTTGGCTGGTCTTGAACTCTTGACCTTAAGCGATCCATCCGCCTCAGCCTCCCAAAGTGCTGGGATTACGTACAGGCATGAGCCACAGCGCCCAGCCTTGAATGAAAAACTTCTTAATAGCTCTGTCCTTGGGCATGCATCGGGCACAGTTCATGCAGTGAATGGGCTGCACATAGCCACAGCCCTTTTTTGGCATGCCATATTCCTTCTTTTCTTTGTCTTCTTGGAAGCTGGAACCCTAGAGAGGAAAGGTCTTTTGTTGTTGTTGTTGTTGTTGTTTGTTTTTTTAAATGTGTTTGTTGAATGATTTGAGTAGGAACACTCTAATGCCTCCAATGAAGTTATAAAGTTAATACAAAGTTCAGAATTTCAGGTCTTGGAGTTATCAGTGGGTACTACTTTGTCTCAGGGCTGCTATAAATTATTCTTTGTTATCTCCCTGAAGTGCCCCATACTCTGTTGCACATCACAGAGTAATGTGTTTTGGGATAGTATAAGGAATGTAGGGTTATAATGGCACTTAACGTAGGAGAGTTCGTACTGTCTAAACCATAGAGTTTGTGGTTGAAGTGGTTTATGTGATCTGCTTGAGTTAGGATGCTGCTTGTGATAAGGTTAGCAGATAAGGGGATAAGGTGTGACTATATACCAATCCACAGACTTTAAGCAGCGTTTTCCACAAATAGTAAAGGATTTGTCAAATTCCCTCTTTCTTTTCTTTGTCTCTTTTGTGGTGTTGTAGTTCGGGGCAATTTATATGAATTCTTTTAGCTTTAGGGTTTTTATTTGAAAATACCCTTACAAGGTAGTAAATATGATATTAATATGTGAAGAGCATATAAATGTTTTAATTAAAATAATAACTCAGTTATAAATTTGCTAGACATCTATTGTGAACATATCACTATGGTAGTTATCCAATTCCAAGAGCAGCACATTGTCTAAGAAATATGACTGGTTCAAGCTTAAAATTGGGTGAGTTTGAGGATTGGGTTGGATTGATTCCATGGCTGTTCTCTCATTCTTTTCCACTGTGGTAACAGAGCTGAATCCAGCACAGGACTAAGGCCGAGAGGTTCAGTTGTCTATTCTAAGCAGTTTAACATTTTGTATCCTACCATGTGTGAACTCTGAAACTGAATGTCGTTTGTTCTAAGGCAGTCTGTGAGAGAGTTTCTGTCTGCTCTTCAGCTTCGTGAAAGTAATTTTAATATTTGGGAGAAAATTATGGAAATGCAACTTTATATTGAGGGCTTTAATCTGATGTCTGTGAAAAGAAATGGGTCACCAAGGCAGCTGAAGTTCCTTCACATAGCATATCCACCTTTGAGAACTTTTATTCCTGTTTTACAACTAAGTTGATGGTTCACAGAAATAAAAGTAATTTTATTCATTCTTTTATTCTCCTATAGGATTTTAATGCCTTTTTTTTTTCTTTTTCTTTGGGACGGAGTTTCGCTCTTGTTACCCAGGCTGGAGTGCAATGGCGCGATCTCGGCTCACCGCAACCTCCGCCTCCTGGGTTCAGGCAATTCTCCTGCCTCAGCCTCCTGAGTAGCTGGGATTACAGGCACGCGCCACCATGCCCAGCTTATTTTTGTATTTTTAGTAGAGACGAGGTTTCACCATGTTGACCAGGATGGTCTCGATCTCTTGACCTCGTGATCCACCCGCCTCGGCCTCAGACAGTGCTGGGATTACAGGTTTGAGCCACCGCGCCCCGCCGATTTTAATGCTTTTTAAAAGGACTTAGCAAAAAAAAAATTTAATGAAAAAAAGTAGGGCCGGGTGCGGTGGCTCAAGCCTGTAATCCTAGCACTTTGGGAGGCCGAGGCGGGTGGGTCACGAGGTCAAGAGATCGAGACCATCCTGGTCAACATGGTGAAACCCGTCTCTACTAAAAATACAAAAAATTAGCTGGGCATGGTGGTGCATGCCTGTAATCCCAGCTACTCAGGAGGCTGAGGCAGCAGAATTGCCTGAACCCAGGAGGCGGAGGTTGCGGTGAGCCAAGATCGCGCCATTGCACTCCAGCCTGGGTAACAAGAGCGAAACTCCGTCCCCCCAAAAAAAAAAAGTGTTAAGTCTGAGATCTCTTTTTTTTTTTTGATGGAGTCTTATTCTATCGCCAGGTTGGATGGAGTGTAGTGGTGCAATCTCTGCTCACTGCAACATCTGCCTACCAGGTTAAAACAATTCTCCTGCCTCAGCCTCCTGAATAGCTGGGACTACGGGCATGCGCCACTATGCCCAGCTAATTTTTGTATTTTTAGTAGAGATGGGGCTTCATTGTGTTGGCCGGGATGGTCTTGATCTCTTGACCTCATGATCCGCCCACCTCGGGCTCCCAAAGTGCTGGGATTACAGGCGTGAGCCAGCATGCCTGGCCAAGTCTGAGATCTCATTTGCTGTCTTTTTACCCAATTCTTGTCTTTTCATCTCTTTTGTTTTCTTTAGAAAAACAGAACAGAAAGATATGTTGTGAATTGTGGATATGAAGTATAATTGCCATGCTATTCTGATTGTTTCTGGTTCAGATTGGGCCCAAATGGAAGGATGTGGTGACCAAATGCATCAAGGGGCATTATCAGCCCCTGCTGCTGCTTTATGCAGATCCCCAGGGTACCCCAGTGTCCACCCAGGACCTGCCTTCCCAAGCGGAGTTCCAGTCATACAGCAGGACATGCTATGATAGTGAAGATTCAGGTGAGTAGCCTGGCTCTTTACCTCTCCTCTTCCCTTATCCCATGCGATCAAACAGATGGGACTCATACTTAATTATGTGCTTAGCACGTAACCTAGCTTAGAGAAGGATGATTCATTAGAAGTAAGAAAGAAGTGCCAACTTGTGCTGAAGCCTAACTTATGCCATTCTTTATTTCCTTCAGTTGTCAAGAGCTTGCTAAAATCACTTGGCCTCAACTCAGAAGTGAAAAGGAGATTAAAGGATGTTTATTTAGACTGAGATAATGAGTTTGTGAGACTCAATGTTTAGCCTTCTAATATTGGTGAGGATGACTTTTTTTTTTTTTGAGACAGAGTCTCACTCTGTCTTCCAGGCTGGAGTGCAATGGCGTCATCACGGCTCACTGTGATTCTCCTGCCTCAGCCTCCTGAGTTGGGATTACAGGTGCCCGCCACCATACCCAGCTAATTTGTGTATTTTTAGTAGAGACAGCGTTTCACCATGTTGTCCAGGCTGGTCTCAAATTCCTGACCTCAGGTGATCCATCCACCTTGGCATCCCAAAGTGCTAGGATTACAGGCATGAGCCACCGCACCCAGCTGAGGATGACTGATTTTTATTAGCAATTTAACAGTGACTTAATTGAGTTGTTTTATTTGAGCCACTATGAAGCTAGTTATTTTGTTTGGCATGAGATATTTTTGTTTTAAAATTGCAAACATGTAGCCTGGCAGGGTGGTGTATGCCTGTAATTCCCAGCTACTTGGGAGGCTGAGGTGGGAGGATTGATTGAGCCCTGAAGTTTGAGACTAGACTGGGCAACATAGCAAGACTCTGTGTTGGGGAATAAAAAAATCCATGTCCAGTAGTGATATTCCTCTGCTTATGAATTAGTTGTTCACTTCTAAGTTAATTGTTTAGAGCTTAAGTAATGACTTTCTGTAAAAACAATTTTCAGCTTGATGGCTAAAGTTCTAGGGCAGCACACAGAATCTTAAAATATATTTGAGGTATAACCTAATAGTTTTGGCTTGATTTCTGAAAAGGAGGAAGAAATATTCTTTTACTCTTCTTGATCTAATACTGGTCCTTAGCATAATTTTGAAAGAGAAGATAATTGACTTTGACATCTTTCTTTCTCCCCTTTGTACCTCCCTCCTGCTTGGTACCCGGTGCTTTCTTCCTCCTCTTATACCCCACCCAAACCTGTTCTACCTCTTCTCCAATCAAATATCCATTTGTCCTGTTATGCTTATCTCAGCTAGGTATTCAGAGAGAAGCAGTCTGATTGAACTAATTTATACTAATGTATTTCATATAAATAACACCCCCAATAATTTCTCAGAGATATTAAAAATGCTTATAATATCAATTCAAAAATTGTAAGTGACATTCTTGGCAGTATAGGAGAAAGATTCTGGGGTAGGAGAACAACTGATTATGTGTGACAGGTTGGCCTGGTACTTTCCATCTAAATAAATCTTATGTTTCACAGCTTTTTCATTTTTTCTGCTTTTCCCCTGATAGGTTTTGTAAGACCCTCACATTTTTTCACAGTGGCAGGCAAAGTGAGGGCTTCAGCAAGGTAGGGACAGGGATGGGAGAAATTTTATGTGTGTCTGGGTTATCTGAAAGTTGGGTGTTGGGAAGAATGGCTCAATGGTATAGCATATCCTTCTCATACTTGCATCTAGGAAGTTCTTGCCTTATGGAGCTTTGTTGTGTCCATCTCTTTTCCTTCTCTCTGTCACTGTTCTTTTTCCTCACTCTTTGCATATATGTTTCCTCCTTCCCTCAGGGAGGGAGCCCTCCATCTCAAGTGACACTCGAACAGATTCCTCAACGGAGAGCTATCCCTACAAACATTCCCACCATGAGTCTGTGGTCAGTCACTTCTCTTCTGATTCTCAGGGGACAGTCATCTATAATGTGGAGAATGATTCCATGTCTCAGAGCAGTCGGGACACAGGTAGGGACTTATACAAAGAATCCTGCTTGCCTGAATCAATTCCTGCATAGAAAGTCTCCTAAGAGAAAGAAACTGGGGCAAGCCAGAAATGTTTGTTATGCAAAGGCAGAACAGCACAGAATTTGGGCAATTGAATACAAAGAAGAAACACATTTCTGAATGAACAATGATGCCCCATTGGACATACTCCTGTCAATAGCAGCATGTCAATAAAGATGATTGTAATGTGATTATCAATGTGGTTATTCTGAAGTCTGCTTTTCTTCTCCTATCCCCTTGATTCCCATGGTACCCCAATAAACCCTTGTGGTCTTACATGTCATCATATTCTCATGCCAGGCTTTGTCCTAAGTGAAGAGCTTTGATAGAAGGGGCCTATTTATGGGATTGGTGAGGGACAACTGCATGTCAGCTTGCTAAGCTTCCTGAAGGATAGAGAAGCAAAAGAATGAAAGATAATCTATTTGTTATTGTGAGTTTCATACAGAGAATATTCTTGAATTGTTTTGTTTATCTGTAGGAGAATATGCCCATGTTAGAGGAAGAAATCAGTACAAGGAAGAACAATGAATGACTGCTGAGATGAAAAGTTTATTCTGGAAGATAGAATACCTAAGGCATAGAATAGTGTCCATATTCTTAGGGACTGTAAGCATTCATGAGCTCATTGTTTGAGATTGGTGGTTGGTTTATAAGCTGTGGGGGCTTTTTTTTTTTAAGATCAAGAATTTCAAAGATATTCAAAACTATACAGAATAGTGTACTGCCCATTTGTGTACCTATCACCTAGTTTCAATAATTACAACTCACAGCCAATCTAGTTTTACCTGTACCCTTACCCACTCCTGGATGATTTTGAAGCACATCCCAGGCACTATATCACATTTTCCATAAGTATTTTAGTATCTGTTGCTCAAACATAAGAAACCACTTTTGAAATGTAGCATTATAACACTTAAAAATAGTAATGATAATTCCTTAAAACTGCTAGGTAACAAATGAGTGTTTAAATATTCACTTATAAATGTCATAATATGTTCATGGTTTATGTGTTTGACTCAGCATTTAAGTGAGGTCTATGCATTGTGATGAGTTGATAAGTCTTTTACATTTCTTTTAATCTACATTTTTTTCTCCATTTTTTATTGCAATTTATTGCTAGAACTAAATATTTTGTCCTGTAGATTTCCCACATTCTGAATTTTGCTGATTTTATTCCTATGGTATGCTTTAACATGTTTCTATGTCCTATATTTCTTGTAAATTGGTAGTTGGACCTAGAGGTTTGGTCAGATTTGTCTTGGCTTTCTTTTGATGACTACTGCATTGATTGTGTCAGGTGTGAGTTTTTTAGACCCTCGTTTTGAAACTGTGAACCAGGAAGAAGCCAAGCCATAGCATGAACTAAGTGTATTTTCCAGTAGAGGCAGATTTGTGTTAGTGGTTTAGGGGTTTTGGTAGTGAGGGTGGGAGGAATGGAGAATATGCCCATTGGTTTAACATTTGTAAGACTTAGTTGTTCCAAGTTATTTTCTTCTCTCTTAAATCTTTCTTGTGGGCAAAGAGGTAGCAAAGGACCAAATAAAAGCAATACAAGATTCCAAGGGGCAACTGATTAAAAATATGTATTCATATCGCTACATTGGTGATACCTGAATATGTATAAGGATTTTCATATACTATCATGTGAAAACAAATTTTTGTTAGCTCTCTATGCATTTGATCTAGGGTTTTTTTTTTTTTTTTTTTTTTTTTTTTTTTTTAAACTTAATTTACCTGCTTAATTCATCTCTGGCTTCCAGCACTTTAGTTGATTATATCCTTTAGAATCTGACCTTTGCTGTCATCAAATCATACTCATGTATTTGCATACTGTGGGCATGAAGCAGGGCAAGTTACATAAAACAGCCCAGCTCTCCTGGGTTTCCCAGTGATTAATATTAAGGAAATACGAAGTGTAATCCCTGGATGGAGCCAAGTTTTGTATAGCATGGGTAGGGGATAGGAATAAGAATTCATCAAAGTTGAAATGTCCTTTAAATTATCCACAATGAAGGAAAGCTTATAACTGAGTCTTAAAGTCATATATAAATGTCTTAAAGTCATATATAATCAGAGCTCTTTGGGCAAAGTCTGGAGTATCCAGGATAATACCAGATGTACTGAAAATCAGATTTTACTTGATATTTGTCACTAAATAAATGAAAGGAAAACTCTCTTCAGTTTATGAGAGTGAAAGTATATGGCTACCTAACATTTTTAATATGATCTTTAAAACTTTTGCCTTTAAAAAATTACCTAGAAACATGTCATTAGTCCTTCTGGGTCACTGGGGAAGATTATGAGTGGGATTGAGATTGGTCATTGCTCAGGAGACATTGTAAATTTCGATGCTCCCAGCTTCTCTGCATTTATCCTTTTTTTTTTTTTTTTTTTTTTGACAGAGTCCTGCTCTGTCATCCAGCCTGGAGTGCAGTGGCATGATCTTGGCTCACTGCAACCTTCTGGATTCAAGTGATTCTAATGCATCAGACTGTAGTTGGGACTACAGGCAAATGCCACCACGCCCAAGTAATTTTTGTATTTTTAGTAGAGACAGGGTTTTGCCATCCTGGCCAGACTGGTCTCGAACTCCTGACTGCCCACTTCAGCCTCCCAAAGTGCTGGGATTATAGGCATGAGTCACTGCGCCTGGCCCTTCTCTGCATTTATCTACTGGGAGGTTCCTACACTGAAATCCTACATTGAGAGTACCTAGGACACAGATAGCCTATGTCCTAAAGCTTCTGTTCCATGGGTACTCTAAATTTGTGACACTCCCAAAGGGAGATTAGGTAGGTTCTCGGGAGGATGGAGGTCAGTCTCAGATACCAGCTTACCTCAATTTCCTTGTTTTTTTCAGGACACCTGACTGATAGTGAATGCAATCAGAAACACACATCCAAGAAAGGGTCACTGATAGAACGAAAGAGGAGCTCTGGTCGGGTTAGGAGGAAAGGCGATGAGCCTCAGGCCTCAGGATACCACAGTGAAGGCAAGCCCCTCTGCACTGATTCTCTTTCTTCTTCATTCACTCTATCAAACTTCTGTCATGCTCCAGACTGTTGGCTTCTCCTTCTCCTTTCTGCTCTAAGGACTTTACTTTTTCGACACTGGGGTCTGTTATCCATGATCACTTTAAAATATCTCTATTTCTTTCATTCTTTGTGTTTTTAGGAGAAACACTGAAAGAGAAGCAGGCTCCTAGGAATGCCTCCAAACCATCCAGCAGCACCAATAGGCTGAGGGATTTTAAAGAGACAGTCAGCAATATCATCCACAACAGACCATCCCTGGCTTCTCAGACCAATGTAGGCTCTCACTGTGGAGGTAGGGGAGGAGACCAGCCAGACAAAAAACCTCCTAGGACCCTGCCTTTACACTCTCATGACTGGGAAATAGAGAGTACCAGTAGTGAGTCAAAATCCAGTTCTTCCAGCAAGTATCGTCCAACATGGAGACCCAAACGAGAATCTCTGAATATTGACAGTATCTTTAATAAGGACAAAAGGAAGCACTGTGGCTATACCCAGCTTAGTCCCTTTTCTGAGGATTCAGGTGAGGAGATAATTAGGGAAGAATTGGGCTTTTGAATAAAGTTGATTTATGCCTTTTTAAAACCTGGGTTTTCTGGTAGATCTGGCAGGGGGCATTTTTACTCTGGTGTTGGGTGTTTTAGGAATATGAGTTCAGTGAATAAGTAGCCAGAGGGAGGAGTTAGTTAGGTCTTGATTTTAGGCAAATGCTAAATCTACCTCCTTTTCCATAACTGTCTTTTGATTGGGATAGCTAAAGAATTTACACCAGATGAACCAAGCAAGCCACCTGCTTATGAGGTTAAATTTGGTGGATCAAGCCCCCAGTACAAGCGCTGGGGCCCAGCACGGCCAGGCTCTCACCTTTTAGAGCAGCAGCCCCGACTAATCCAGCGAATGGAATCTGGCTATGAAAGCAGTGAGAGGAACAGCAACAGCCCTGTCAGCCTGGATGCAGCCCTGCCTGAGAGCTTAAATGTCTACAGGTATTATTTGGCCTTTGAACAGTGACATTATCCCTTGCCGCAGCGTGAGCCCCTACTTGGGGCTTTCAGGCAAGTCTTAGTCAAGTGGAGAGATGGCCTTTGCTACCATCTCTCTATGTGCTCTGTCAACTTTCTACAACAACAGCACCCTCTTCTGGGAGGAAGAAAAAAGGCACTTGAGAAAGGAGAGAGAACTTTCTATTTGAAGTACAGTTATCATGTATAAAATAATTTTTAAAAATTTAGGTTCAGAGGGTACATGTGCAAGTTTGTTATGTAGATAAACTTGTGTCATAGGAGTTCATTGTACATGTTATTTTGTTACCCACATATTAAGCTACTGCCCACTAATTATTTTTCCTGATCTCCTTCTTCCCACCTTCCACCCTCCGATAGGCCCGTGTCTGTTGTTCCCTTCTCTGTGTCCATATGTTCTCATCATGTAGCTCCCACTTGTAAGTGAGAATATGAGGTATTTGGTTTTCTGTTCCTGTATCCTTAGTTAGCTAAGGATAATGAAATAATTGTTTAGTGCTTGCTTTGGTAGCACATACACTAAAATTGGAATGATGCAGAGAAGATTAGCATAATCCCTGCTCAAAGGTGACACAAAACTTTGTGAGGTGTTCCATATTTTTCAGATATGTAGGATGAGCAAGTCTAGGGATCTAATGTAAAACATGAAGACTACAATTAATAAAATTGTGCTGCCTATGAGATTCATGGTAAATGAGTAGATTTTAACTCCTCTTGCCACTAAAGCCAAGAAAATGGTTAACTATATGATATGATGGGTATGTTAATTCCCTTCAGTTATAGTAACCATTTTACTATCTCTATGTATCTCATAACATCATGTTGTACATCTTAAATATATATAGTAAAAAATTTATTGAATAATGGATTAGTGAATTAAAACTTTTGTAATCCTAAAATCAGAGAAGAAACACAAATGTTACTTTGGGATAGTGTTTTGTTATTGTTGCTGCCTTTTTTTTTTTTTTTTT